TGTAATGACACTCATTTATTTCTATTGCGATTCGTTTTTTTCTTTCCTTTTGCCTTCTTTGGCTTCGGTTTTTTCTTTGTGTTGGATTTATCTGCTGCTGGTTGATTGTTTTTTCCACCGAATTTCTTTTCGCCGCCTTTTCCTTTGAAATCCTGCTTCTGTTTCTTATCGTCGGTTTTATTGAATTTCTTCGGCCCTTTGTGAGACGATTTACTATCGTCCGCATCGACTTTACGTCGTTTTGCATCTTTGTCCTTGCCGTATTTCATCTGTTTGGGCACAAATGCACGCTTTCGACCACCAGTAGTGTTCGGGGCATGGAATAGCTCTGTAACAAATAGAAACGCATTTGCATTAATTATGCTATTGTTTTAGTGGGATGTTTTCTCTTTTTCTTACCCTCATCTGGTTCCTCGCCAACCGCTTCGCGATAGTAATCCGCATCATTGTCTACATGCTCTTCTTCATTGACTTGTTCTGATTTCACAGCGCCAGAAATCGAACGTTTTTTGTGTTCGCCCTTTTGTTGCTCTTTTTTCGCGACATTTTCATTTTGGATCTTCTTGCGGCGCTCCTTCAATCGCTTCTTCTCTTCGCGTACCTTTTTCAATTCGGCTATCTCCTCTTCCGTCTTGACAATAGAATTGTGGTACAAAACCTCTCCCGTGAATAGATCATTTTGGATTTTAATCAATTCGATCGTCAAACGCGGTCCAATCTCATGCAAACGAATGGCGGATTTGTTGTTTTCCAAGTTTCCACGTGAGCTAAGCGTTTGTGGTAACACAACCTCATTGTTTTCATCATCTTCATATTCCGACTCAGATGCATTGCCGCTTCTAAAAGTTGAGAAAGTGTATTGAACACCATCATGCTCAGTTTAAAAATTGAAAATCATCAAACTCACTGCTCAATAAAATCAGCAATATCTTCACATTTCGACAAATTCGGCACTTTTCCCATAATAACCTTTTTAACGCTGCGATTCAGTCCGACCGGCACAACACTGACCGAATAGTGTCGCATATCGACCAGATTTGTCACTGAATTGTACGAAAATAGAACGCATCGTTTGATCGTCGATAAATTCACCGTTGGCAAGTTGATGGTGGGAAACAGGTTTTGAAATGTGTTTGCCATCAATTTCAAGTGATTTCCTTCGCCCGTGAAGTTATTCAAAATGACCTGGAATACAGTTTCAATGCGATTAGCACAAGTGTTCAAAGTAACATTGCAATCAAATTCAAAACTCAACCACAGAAACATATTGTTCCAAATGTTCCGATGACTGGTGCTTACCAAAGGTGCATGTTTGAATGCGATATCGTTGAAATATTGCTTCTTCATCGATGCCAAAACATCTCTGGCCAATGTGAATTGATGTATCTTGTAGCTCAGTGTTGGACCTTTGAACGACAGCTGATTGGCCGATTTGTTGAAAACAATCATGTGCGAAACGTGGAAAACGCCGGACAAACTGACGAAATCCTTGATTTTGTTGTTACGACGTTCACGCAACGATGAGGCGGTGAATGGTTCCATCATACGACGAAAGTCCATGGTCAAATAGGTGATATTTGGAAATGGTAGGCCACGATGGATCACAAACGAATGTGGGGCATTCAGTGTTTCTGGTGATTCCGATTCATCGAATACATGATTTTTCTTCAATGCCTTGCCTTTACGTTTACCCATTTTCGAAAACACCAACTATTCAAGCCCTAAATCGAATAAAAATCCTTCTTTCAGGCGAAAAAACTAATTTTAATCTGTTTTATTTATAGAACTAAAACGTTTTGAATGCTAACAAAACACACGTTCTGATTACAATGTAACAACTTAACCTCAAATGTCAAACGCACGTTTCATATGGTAAATAAAGTGCTGTCAGTGTGAGCGAGGTGTCAAACATTTCGTTTGACAACCGTCGAATGAAACGTGTGAG